TTTTCGGCCCTTCGCTGGGGACAGAGGTGCTTTCTCCTGTCCTCTGGCTGCAGAGGTCCTTCATGTGTGAGCCAGGCTCATGTCCACTTTCTCCTTAGAGGTGTGTGAGTCCTTAAATGTCAGCCTGGGTGGTTTCCCTAACCTCTGCTCGCTGATGGGCTCCAGGAAGGTGAAGATTTTGTGGATTAGCTGGCTGCTGTTGGTTCTGTTGTGGAGGGGAGATGCTATTTCCAGCTTTCCGTTCCCAGCAGGGAAAGCTGGTGGTTCCATTCCCACAATTGCAGGAGAGCCATTCCACTTTTACTCCATGTTCCAGCCAGGGAAGGGTCAAGGTCAGAGCCTTCGGGAAGAGCAAAGACTCAAAGGGACCTACCCTTCAAAAGTGTTTTCTCAGAAGCCTGTGCCAGAGCATTGCACCTGCATCTTGCCATGTATAGTCACATGGCCACCCCGGTGGAAAGGGAAATGGTCCTTTCTAAAGGAGCCTGTTGGCCCCAAGTACCCTTGGGATTCTGCAAAAAAAGGAAAGAAGGGGAGAAAGAGGAGAAGGAGGTAGGCAGCCAACAGCATCTGCCATGCAGATTTTTGCCTAAAACCCCCTTTGCCAACTTGATGGGATCTCCACACCCACCACCCTGCTTTTTGGAAACTGAATGAAAGCTGTGGACCCTCTCCTGCAAAAACTCACTTGTGCACATTCAAGCTAAGCTGTGCATGCGATTTTAGGACACTCACTGACTACTTGAAGCCTCGATGCCCACAGGGTCGATTCCCCTGGTTGCTGGTCTGATCCTTGTTCTCAGAAGCAGAGCCCAAGGCAGAGACCTCTGTGCCAGCAGTTTACTGGGGAGTGCCATTCCAGGGACAGAGGTGCTTAGGGACAGGAAGACAGGTAGGTGGGCTGTCAGTAAGGGGTATTGTAGAGTCCCTCCCATAGGGAGGCAGAGACTCATTCACGGGTCCTTAGCCTCACTGCTCAGGGCTGCTCCAGGGCATAAGTCCCCACTTCTGGATGCTTACATATGTAGTGGGGGCACCCCTGGACACCCCATCTGCTGAGGGAGAAGCCCCAGGGCAGGGCACCCTGCTATCAGGAGTGAAGCTGGTGGAAGGCGGTATGGACTCGCCATCCTCACACAGAGGGAATAGGAAGAGAGGCTGAGAGGGCACAGTTCTGAATGTAAAGAGGCCAGCATGGAGGCCAGCCAAGGCATGTGGCTTACTCTCCAGCCCCTTCACACCAGCCACAGCCCCTCCTATGCAAGTGCTTCAACACCACATTACTTGCAGTTCCTCAAATGCACTGCATTGACCAGGACTCTTAATTGCGAGGGCCAGAAAGCTCCTAGCTGCCTGAGCCCAAGCATGAATTCATCGGTGCCCATCAGTGTCTGGCTGTAGGTATAGCAGGATCCAGGAGCTCAATGCACATCGTCAGCTCTGTCTCTATTTCTGTTTACCCATTTTTTTACTGTGGGTGATTATTTTCTTTCTGGTTAGAAAAATGGGCATCAACAAACAGCCTTAATTTAAGATCATTTCGTTTGGTAGCTCCAGCAGGGGAGGGGCGCTTCCCTCCCAGGGTCACTGTATTAACCCCAGGGGAGATGCCGGTGGGCATCCAGTAGGAGGCATGTACTCCTCCGCACAGTCACAGGGCCTGTGGCACAGAGGTGCAGCCACTCTGCAGCACGCTTCCTGAGGACCCAGGTGGCCTCCTGCAGGGCACGAGGGAACGTGCCCATTTGGCACATGCCACCAACTGTGTGAATATGGCGCCAGGTCCCCACTTCCAGCCACTTCACGCTTTTGCTTCATCCCTGTGAAAACTGTTGAGTAAGCCTAATTGGGACTTAAGGTCACTTTTCTCTGTTTTCAGCTTTATTAAGGGATGATTGACAAAATTGCTAAGATAGAGCTTTGGGGATGGAATGTACAGCATGGTGACACGGCTGCTGCAGGATACATAGGGGAGCAATTAACAGAGGCGATCCCTAGAGGCTGGCTTTCTTTCTTTATATCCATGTGAGTTGGTGGATGTTGACTAAACTTACTGTGGCTGTCATTTCCCAGCATGTGTACATCCCGCCATTACACTGCACACCTTAATCTTAGTTACATGCTGTCTGTCAATAGTTATCTCAGTAAAACTGAGGAAGGAAAAGTGCTGAGCCCTGTTCCAGGGACTGGGGGTGCTTTCCCTGCTCATGTGGTCTTACATGTAGATATTTAAGATATAAAGGACATCATGGGAGGGAAGTGGATCTGGGGGAAAGTGGGAAGGCCTCTGTCAGTATGTGTTTAGGACTGCCTGGAGGAGGTGGTAAAGGTTGGCTCCTAAGGATCCAGGGTGAAGCTGTCCAAGACCTATGTACTGAGCTTCCTTCCCCAAATCTCCAGCTTTGGGAAGAGCTGCTTTAGGTGAAGGTGGGCCCACCTGAACAAGGGGTCAAAGTGAGCCAGGAATTGGCACAAACTCGTAGTCTAGGACTGAGACCAGGGCCTCAAAAACCTGAGTGCAGACACCTTGGTGGAGGGTCTGCTTGATTCACTTTATATCCCATTCTTATGGCTGTCATTAATTGGGGTACATCTCTTTTTCTGAGGAATAACAGTGGTTAAAAGAGGAACACATCGGGTTTGTTCAGTCGCAGAAATGGAAGTAGTCTGACTCGTCAGCAATCTGTTTACTTCTTCTTGAATTGAGACCTGGACCAAGAAAAATCTGCATCTGCCTGCCGCTTTACACACCTTTCACTTTCTTTCAGAGGGAGGCAGCAAACTGGATGAAATGCACAGATAAAGGTTGTAAATTAGTTTTACAACTAATCAGCCTAGGCAACAGGATAAAGGTCATTATTATAAACAGCACTATATATTTGGAATTCACCATTTTTCAAGGGCCTTGAGATAGGGAAGTGTTCATAGGAATTATCTGGAATCCTGCTGCAGGGAGGTGGGGAACCTCAGGCTGTGGGGTCACCCGAGAGGCTATGGGCTGCAGGCACAAGTTAAAATAGTCACCTCATGTTTGGATAGCATGTGTTTTTCTCTCTCATGGAAGCTAGAAGTCATTTTTTTATCCCCTTTAGGATGTACTTTAGGATTCAGGGCTGTATTCCCATTTTAAGTCAAGACAAAGGAGATAATGCGATTAGCTAACATTTAATGGGTGTTATTTTCTACTTTATAACAATAATCACAGCTAACATTTATTGAGTGATATTTTTTCTTTGTAATAAATAGCTAGTGTTTATGGAGTGGGACATATTTCCCAAGCTCTGCTCTAAGGGCCTTATATGTATTCTCTCATTTCTATCACAACCCCCCAGAGAAGGAACTATTAGCTTCATTTTCCAGGCAAGGAATCCAAAACAGAGAGATTCAGCGATTTGCCTAAGAGCACGCAGCTAAGAAGTTGGAGACGGCATAGAGAGGGGAGTGTTAGACCACATCTCAGCTGCAGCTGATCGTCATGACTAAGACTGTGTGTGTGCACATGCACTTGGAGAAGACTGTGGGCAAATGTTTGATCTTGAGTAAACTGAGGCTGTTGCTTGATTCACTTTATATCCCATTCTTATGGCTGTCATTAATTGGGGTACATCTCTTTTTCTGAGGAATAACAGTGGTTAAAAGAGGAACACATCGGGTTTGTTCAGTCGCAGAAATGGAAGTAGTCTGACTCATCAGCAATCTGTTTACTTCTTCTTGAATTGAGACCTGGACCAAGAAAAATCTGCATCTGCCTGCCGCTTTACACACCTTTCACTTTCTTTCAGAGGGAGGCAGCAAACTGGATGAAATGCACAGATAAAGGTTGTAAATTAGTTTTACAACTAATCAGCCTAGGCAACAGGATAAAGGTCATTATTATAAACAGCACTATATATTTGGAATTCACCATTTTTCAAGGGCCTTGAGATAGGGAAGTGTTCATAGGAATTATCTGGAATCCTGCTGCAGGGAGGTGGGGAACCTCAGGCTGTGGGGTCACCCGAGAGGCTATGGGCTGCAGGCACAAGTTAAAATAGTCACCTCATGTTTGGATAGCATGTGTTTTTCTCTCTCATGGAAGCTAGAAGTCATTTTTTTATCCCCTTTAGGATGTACTTTAGGATTCAGGGCTGTATTCCCATTTTAAGTCAAGACAAAGGAGATAATGCGATTAGCTAACATTTAATGGGTGTTATTTTCTACTTTATAACAATAATCACAGCTAACATTTATTGAGTGATATTTTTTCTTTGTAATAAATAGCTAGTGTTTATGGAGTGGGACATATTTCCCAAGCTCTGCTCTAAGGGCCTTATATGTATTCTCTCATTTCTATCACAACCCCCCAGAGAAGGAACTATTAGCTTCATTTTCCAGGCAAGGAATCCAAAACAGAGAGATTCAGCGATTTGCCTAAGAGCACACAGCTAAGAAGTTGGAGACGGCATAGAGAGGGGAGTGTTAGACCACATCTCAGCTGCAGCTGATCGTCATGACTAAGACTGTGTGTGTGCACATGCACTTGGAGAAGACTGTGGGCAAATGTTTGATCTTGAGTAAACTGAGGCTGGCGAAGGGTTGGGCTGTTGTCCACAGAGAACACCCTTCTGGTGCTGTGCAGGATCCGGGCTGGTATCATTACACCGTGTGCCTCATGTATAGTCCCTTGGCTTTCACTCACTTTGGGAAGGGTTAGAAAGACAAGTGATCTGCACTTGGTGGAGCCCCTGAGTGTGATTCACTTTCTTTTCTATCCATATGTCACCTTATTTCTTTCTTTGGGAAAATGAGATTCAGCTCTAGAGTTGATGGCTTGTTGTCCATTTTGTCAGTGTTGATATTTATGCTGACTTACTTATGTGTCATCTATATACACACTCCTTGTCTGTTTGGTCGGCTTCTGAAATGAAGGTCCTGAAACTGTCCCAGTTGTTCTGAGCAGACTGGAGTTAGGACCCAGCAGGGATGCAACAGGACGGGATATAAATAGAGAAACAGACCAGAACAAAGTTTGAGGCACAGCCTTACATCACTCACTCTCCTCCCGAACTGCTGGAACTGCTGGGGGACGGCCGAGGTGCAAGGCTGAGTCAGCCCAGAGGATCTGGCCAGCGAGCCGCCAGCCCCCGTGCTGGGGACCGGAGTCCCTGGAAGCCTACTCTCCCCACTCCAAGGAGCAAGAGAAGCTTGTGACTCCACCAAGGCAGGGACAGCGAGGGCTCCTGAAGCGGCATCCGTGACCTCGAGCAGCCCTAGGGGGCTGCAGACAGGACTTGGGTCTCTCTGCCCGGCCAGCTCATCGTGATGCATTCATTGATCGCTGAAGCCTCTCAAGTTTGGAGACAAGGAAGAAACACCCACTGACTCTCCAGGACAGCTGCGTTTCACAGACCCTGGAGAGCAGCTCTTCTCCCTCAGAGCCTGTGAAAATGTCCCTCTCCCAAGGAGGTGGGAGCTGAAGAAGACGCATTGTCACAGACCCTCAGGACTTGGACGCACACACACTGTAATCGCTAAGAAAGCCATGAGGAAGCTGCTGCCTCTTTGCTGCTGGCACTCCTGGCTGCTGTTATTTTATGGAGAGTTTCAGGTAATGTCCCAAAGTTGCTCTTGCTGGTTGGACTAGATGGATGTCTGCAGGGAGGCTTTGCGAGCGTGTCTCACAATGTGGTGTTTTGCGTGCAGGTGTGCGGAGCCCACTCCAGGTCTGGTGCCCATCCAGGTAAGGGAACGGCCTTATCCATCTCACATGCCTGCCCTCCCTGCCTCGTGGGGCCCTGGGCAGTGTGTCTGCTTCCTGCTGAGGCTGCGGGTGCCCGGCTCCCCTCCGGCCCCTCTGTCCTGCTGCCCACCCCTCAGTGCCCTGCCCTCCTGCTGTCTCGAGGTGTGGCTGGAGTGGCAGCTGTCCCTGTGCCGAAGCCTTTTGATCCTGGTCATTTGAAAGCCTCTTGTTCCTTGCTCCCTAATTTGAAAAATTAAGGATGGGTAATGTTCTCCGGGCTGTGTCTTCCCTCAGCCACTCTTAACACACATCGCGTGTCTCTGTGCCGTTCACTTGAGCTGACTTAGGACGCCAGTCCTTCTGGCTCACGGTGCCCATTCTGTCTCCGTTCTGTGGCCGGGAGCTTGGCCCCTCAGCCCACTGAGATCACCAGGCACCGAGGCCCTTGCCAACAGCTGGCCCACCTTCCCATGGCCATCACAAGCCCTCGGTCGACAAGAGTTGTGGGGATGTTTTTTGCTATGAGGACAGAGGAGCATCAGGCTGTCCCTGGGAAGCGTGTGGGCTGGCAGGGAGGAGGGGAGCCCATGTGAGCAGCAGGAGACCCTTGGGTGCCCTTCCCCTTTGCTTCCTGCCGACTTGTGCTGGAGCTGGAGAGCCCATGCCAGCATCCCTAAACCTGTGCCCAGAAGCTGTGAGCACAAACGCCAACTCTCAGGAGCATGCCCCTGACTCAGAGCTGCAGTGGCCGGTGGGTGCCCGGGAATGGTAATCATGGGCAGCTGGCCGCCTTCCCAGGCACCCACTGGATCTATGGGCACAGCCAGCACTCCTGGGCCAGCACAGGACAAAGCAGGGCTGGGCTGAGGTCCGACATTGGGCTGGACTTTGTCTCCTTGCTGATGTGACACAGTACAGGGTGAGACATCCCGGCCATGGTCCCGCTTGCCTGGCCAGCTTCAAGGGCCCAGGTGTTGCCACTTCCCTTCACCCTCTGGTCCAAGTTCAGTCTTCTGCTGAGCAGGTGTGAAGGCCGTGAAGTTCTGTGGGCTCCCATCTCTTCAACCAAAATGCTGACAGAGAACAGGACTTCTGGGGCCCGGGGAGGAATCAGGTGGCCGGCATCTTGTGAAAGGGAGGGCATGTCTGCACAAGATGCTTCCCACCTCCCAGGCCATGCCTGGAGCTGTGTCCTGGTCCCCCTCAAGACAAGGGGTGGGTGGCCAGGACACCAGGCAGGGACCAGGCAGCCTAAGAACTCCGCCTGGTATTAGAAGGGAGCCCAGAGGTCTGTTCCCAGGCGGAGCGGCGGCCACACGTGGCCACATGCAGCACTTGCCTTCCCAACCTCGCTTCAGGAAGCGGTTTGACTTCACAGAGAAACTGCACTCCTCTGGTGTCCTGAGGGTGGGAAAACAGTCTCCTGATCAACTGCGACTTTAGGGAATGGCGTGATACTGGCAGTGATAGAAATATTACTCAAGGGATGGCAGCCACTGGGCCCGCTGGAGACGGAGCCCCAGGGGTGTGATGCCTAAGCTTCTGCTCCGCCCAGGGCTCTGCTCCCAGCCTGCCTGCTGGTCTGTTCGGTGCCCCCTTCCTTGCCCCACCTGCATCTAACCTCACACCCCCTTCTCTCCCTCCTCCACCCTCTCACTCCCTCCTCAATGCAGTCTTCTTCTCATCTGCTCTCCCCTTGCCTTGGGCTCTGTCCAGCCTTCCCTACTGGGCCAGGGGGCCTGCATCTGGGCTGAGGCTGTTCAGGAACCCCTGCCCTCGGAGGGGCCCCATGGAGAAAACGTGACTGGATAAACATGCAGAGCCAGTTCCTAACAGGAAGCATGTGGAAACAAGCTGAATGCCCACCAGGGTGGGAAGAGCTACGTGAATTGTAGCATTTTGTCCTAAGGAAGTCTAAGCAGTAATTAAAAATGCCAACATGGCAGCATGTTCGGAGCTTAGATGTAAATTCTGTGTAACCTCACAACCCTTTGAAGTCATGTGATTACAACCCTGCTTCAGACAGGAAGGGAGCAAATGGTTTGCCCAGGGCCACACTGCTAATAGTGGTGACCTAGGGAGCTCCCACATGGAGGGCCCTAGGGGAGGCAGGCACAGAGGTCCCGAGACCAGCTGGGAGGGCTGAATGTCCCAGGACGCTAGCTGGGCCTTAAGGACGCTCCGAATAGGCTGGAGCTCTTCTCTTCTGGCTGCCAGTCTATTTTCTACTGCAGCCACACCAGGCTTTTCTTTTTAGGGTTCAGGACGGTAAGCTCCTCCTGTGTCTCATAGGGCACCTCACCCACTGCTGTTCATAGTAGATGCCCAGCAAATGCCTGTGGGCTCAGCTGTGCTTCGTCCCTTGAACTAGTTGTCATCAGGAGGCTGGATCAATGAAGACAACCAGCCTGCATGGTTTAAACTCCCAGGTAGATATCTTGCTTGATTATCTGGTTTGTCTGTCTACACTAGACCAGGAAGCTAGGTATTTGCCAGATCTTTCTCTCCACCATGTAAACAGCTGTTTAGTAAGTAATTGAAAATCAATTTCCAATTGTTTTGAGCCTCTGCACTGCTCTGTGGCCATGTACTCCTGTTTGTTCAGAGAGAGCCTAGCGTGCTGGGGTTGGAGGGGCAGCAGAGGCTTCTGGCCTCTCCCACGTGACAGCTGATGAAGGTGAGGCCAGAGAGGGGAGCCCAGGCCCTGTCCTCTGAGCACCCCCTCTGGCCCCAGTGTCCCATTTCTTGCTCTGCTCCCAGTGCTGGGAAGCTGTGATGGTGGATAAATCTAAATCCACCAATGGCCCCAAGCCAAAAAATTTCAAATCATTCTTGAAAAGTTTATAAACATGCCCTTTACAGATAACGTTTGTAATGAAGAAAAAGGATCATTATCTGGAGTTTCCTGGCCCTGGGACACTCAGGCAGCTCACCTCTGAGCTCTGTTTAGAGGTCTGGAGGCCAAAGCAGATGGTTGTAGTCATTCCAATTCCCTCCACGTACATGGTATTCTTTTCTCTGTGAACCAATAGTTTGTTTCATTTCTGTTTTTGCAAGGTGATCTATAATTGACATATCACAGTGTGTTAGTTTCAAGTGTACAGCATAATGACTCACTATTTGTACATACAGTGAGGTGACCCTCCAGTGAGTCTGCTTACCATCCATCCCCAACAGAGTGTGGCCCAGTTTACAAAGGGCCGTCAGGATCACTAAGTCATGGCAGAACCTCATTCTTCCTAGGGCAAAAAAAGTGTTTATGATGGCTTTTAAAGAATAATGTTTGTACCCCATTGCACAAATGGAAATTTGGCAGCTAGAAAGTTCTGGGGGCATCAGAATTATATGTATAGTCTTTCAGTGTTTAGCCATCTACTTATTTATTGTTGCATTTCATCATTCATTCTGCCTATGTAGTTTTTAAAAATTGCTAACATTATCATTTGAGGAGATTTCAAATGTAAAACTCTGGATTTCACACACACACACACACCCTGTTTTAGACCTGGGGATTTGGTGCCAATAGAACAAAGTCTTTCCACTCACGTAAAGGGCATGATACAGGAGACAGACACCAAACAAATACTACAACTTCTGATAATGGTGAGCACCATGAGGAAATAGACTGAGGCCCTGGGAGAAATGGTGGACAGTGGTGGTGACAAGGGGCAGGCAGGGAGGGGTGTTGTTGGGCTGAGGCTTGAATTAGAGTCAGTCATACACAATCTGAGCACCGCATCCTGGCAGTAGGGCAGGGCAGCCGTGAGCCCCACCGGGGGCAGTGAGCTCGGTGTGTGGGAAAGGCAGTCAGAGCCGGTCCCATGGTCGGCAGGGGCCGGTTTTCCTCTGTGTGGTGTGGATTTCAGTTGAATAAAGTCAGTGGAACACTGAGATGTATTTCCCTCCACAAATTCAAGGGATAAGGTTTCCCTTTTATACTGACAGAAAGAATAAGTGATACAGAAGGAATTAGTGTAGAGGAATCTGGAAGATAATCTGAAAAGAAAAAATTAAAGGTTTTATTAGTTTTCTTTCTGAGTATTGATTCTCTCCCGCCAAACTGAGTCAAGGAAACATTAAATATGGGTGAGAAATTGTTCCTGAAGAACTGATTTATAATGTGGTGAAGTAGGCTGAAAATCTCTCTCTTACCTTTGTAGGTCCGAGGTCCGTTTTGAGGTCCCGAATGAGCCATGTTATCACGTGGCTTACTGTCTTGAGTAAGCATCTGTGAGAGTTTATCTGGTGAAACCCTAGGGGTCTGTGTAACTGGAGACCTCATGTCACCTTCTTTTTGGGAAAACAGCCCCAGCATCTCTTCCTCCCCAAAGAACGTGAGTTTCTTGTGCTGATGACACTCTCTGAGCTTTCAGTTATTTACTCCTTTGGCTGTCAGCAGCAATCAGGGCGTTGAATTTAGTTCTTTGGCACGTGTCGTCAGCACCACACAATGTTCTAATTTTGAAAAAGCCCTTAATTGCTGACATTAATGTTTTGGGAGATTTCAAATAAAAAATCTGGACCTCTGACTTCTCTTTAAAAGCAGAGGCCTGGCAGTTCTGGCAGGCCTTCCTACAGAACCACAGTGCTTGGGCCCCAGAAGCAGCCACCTTTAGACAGGACATGTGTTATGCAACTAGCCTCAGCCTCCAAGGCCCTGGGACGTGATGGTGCACCAGGCAGGCGGGGATGCTGGTTGCTGGTTCCGGTTCCTCCATGCCCGTGCCTTCCAGGTTGGCAGCCATTGTGGCCATCATCCTGGCCTTATCCAGGTGTTCCCTCAGCCCCGGCCCTGTGCCCAGTTCAGTTCAGCCCCTCCAGCCTGTTGGGCTGTCTCAGTGTTGCTAGTTACGAGGTATCCAGGCGGTTTAGCAGGCAGTTACCCTGGTCTGAGGTGTGATGACTCAGAATGGCAGGCATCTACTGACACCCCCTCTCTTCTCAACACTGACTTAGGGACGCTAGCCAGTCTGGGGGCCCATTCTCTGTGTGAACAAGACCTGATCCCCTTGTTCCATCAGCCTTTCTGCCCAGGCCATTTGTAAGTGGAGATAGTAGGAAAGGGTTTATTATTCACAGGGCTTATTTTATGATGAGGAGGATTCTGAAGATATAACATCTGTTCTTAATACAACAGATGTTATTTCCTTTTCTGAGTTTTTCCCCCCAGATGAATTGAATAACAAGTCAAACATGCTTTTCTCTCTTCAGAATGAATATCCTAAAAAAAGCATGGTAGAAATGAAAATGAACACTCTTGACTTGAACATTTCAGATTCTCCATATTGCACTGCCAGAGTGGAACCATTCCCAGGGGACGGTGTGAAGTCATGTGTCACGCTGACATGTACCAGAGCCGGGTGCACAGCTACTTCTCTTTAGCCCCTATTATAGAATTGATTTTGTTCTTGGCTTACATTTTGGACTCACATACATAACACTGAAAGGACATTGCCTCACAGATACAAACATAAGAAAGGAGCCAATGACCTGGGCATGTGCCGATGTTTGGTACCCTATAGACAAAAATCCAGATGTCAGATGGGGTACTTCAGTCCTCATCTGAAAATGCAGTGTGGACATTGTCTACGGTCATGTTCCTTGTGAAAGTGAGTCTTAAAATACTTCTTATAAGAACACAGGTCCCAACATTCCACTAGAATAGAAAGATGATGAAATATAAATCGTCTTCTTGTGTCTTACACCTACTTCCTCAATTTCTCCAGCCCCAAAATACTACCACCAGTTTCTAGGACATCCATCCAAACATACTCTCTCTCCTTCTTCTTCCCTCCTTCCCTGCCCACTGAGCGACTCTACTTGACCCAGATATTTCATAGTCCATACGTTTTTTTCCTACCGTGATTTTTTTTTAACTTAACGATACAACTTAAAAAACATTCCATATCAGTACTTGTATCTCAGTCTCATTATTTATCCCAGCCCTACACTAGCCTGTTCATAGATGCTCTGTATTTATGTAGCCAGTCCTCTGTCAGTGTGCATGTAGGCTGTTCACTGGCTATTGACACTGTAAAAAAAACATTGTGCAAGAAACACCCTGTAAGCTCTTTGATCATAAACTCCCAAGAGTGGATCTACTAGATCAAGGGAATGTCCTTGAAGTTTGGGTAGAGACTTCCATATTGCCCTCCAGAAAGGCTGTACTGATTTGAACTCCCACCAAAAAACTGGTAGAACTGGCCAACTTAGTGGATCTCACTTTGTCAATCTGGTAGATGAACTGGGATAGGCTAGCTCGTAGTAGTTTTAACCTGCTTTTAACAATTGTGAGCAAGGTGGAATCTTATTTTTTACTATCCTTAAAATTTATTTGCATTTCTTTGAGCTATGTCCTTTGCCCCAGTATTCTGTTGGTTTAAAATTTCTTAATAGTAGGAGTTTCATTAGTATAATATATTTAATACATTTAAAAAACTTAGTACATTTTTTGTCCTATGTATTATATAAGTATCAGTCTCCAGTTCAGATTAGCTTGACTTTTTTTCTATATGGAAATTTAAAATCTTTAGGTAGTCACATTTATAACCTGATTTCCTCAGAAGCTCTTACAGTTTATTTTATTACATTAAAATTTTGACCCATCTGGAAATTGCTACTGGTATGAAGGGTGAGGTAGGGATCTTCATGTCTTGTGCACGGTGAACTGGTTCTGATACCTTTTGTTGAATAATGTTTCTTCTCTGATTTAAAATACCACCTTTATCATAAACTCAAATCTCATACATGCTTGGGAATATTTATGGATTTTTTTTCCCACTGAACTGTTCTCATTAGTACCAAATCATCTTTATCATTGTGGCTTTATGATAGGGCTTAATCTCTGCTGGTGCTAACCTCCCTCATTATCCTTTGCCTTCCTGTCTCTGTATTTGGTTGGTTATTCTTGCTATTTTCCTTCCTATAGGTGTTCCATAATCAGCTTTCTCTCCACAAAAATTTCAGCATTTTTACAACAGATTTCTTAATATTTGTAAGTTAATTAAAGGATGGTTGATATTTTTATGATTTTGAGTTTTCTAAGTCCTTCATATATTCAAATGTTCTCTTATGTCACTCAGTGTTACCCTACTGTTTTCTTCATGAGAATTTTGTGCAGTTCCTATTCTTTTGTTCTTAAATATCTTCTCTTTATTGGCAGCATTTATAAATGAGAACTTTTCTTCTATTATTTTTTAGCATTATTGTTTGAATACAGGGAAGCCATTGACATTTGCATATTAAATCTGTATAAACCTCCTTACTAAATTCTCTGTTGTAACAATTTTTCATTTACCAAATTCTTTTCTTATTTGTAATAGTTTTTCATTTTCATTATCAGGCATACATCATTTGAAAATAATGATCATATCTCCTCTTTAAAAATTTTTTTATAATGAATAGCACAAAGATTACTCTATTAGTTTTTACTCTTCTATGATCTGGCAGACAGTTAGGACGGTTTATTATTTAGTCATTTCAGCCATTACTTCCACTTCTGGGAACTAATCACAGAGAACTAATCCAAGATAAGATTAAAGCTAGAGGAATGGCTCAGAAGGTGGTAGTGCAGCCCTCTGGGGACTATTACCCAAACAGAATTGTGAAGACTGGATAGGAGTAAATAAACAAAACAACTCATATGGTATTAAGTGAGAAGAGGAGAATAGAAAACAATTTATCTGCACAAAATCATGTCTACTCAGAGTACAAGGATCATAAAGGAAATTTTGAAATGATTGATTTTTAGTATAATAGAATGCTCCCACGCTGAGGGAGACTTGTATGTGAGCATTGCATCTAAAACGAGCCAGCTGGGTAATTTCTCAGGAAGCACTTTATTCCTGGTCTTTACAAATCAACTAAGAATGCAATTGTCTTAGAGATCATTGTCAGAATGAAATGAGAACATGTTTGTAAAGCACAAAATGGGTCTTGGTTTCCTCCTCTTTTTAAGTTATTTTAACCTTATTTCTCTTGTCTGATAGCATAAGCTAATTTTTCTACAACAGTATTAAGTCATAAGTGGATAATGGACATTCTTGTCTTTTTCCTTACACGTATGGGCATGCTTCTAGTGTTGCACCATTAAGCACAGGTGGCTTTGTTTTCTTTGGGTCAGAGGTATTTGTCTATTGCTACTTGTATTTTATCCTGTTAAGGATATATTCATTGATTTATAATTTATGAAGTGTTTTTTAAAACCAGGAGGGTGTCTTGAATTTATTCAAATGCTTTTCTATTATGTCCCATAGTCACTCTGATGCTTTTCTCTTCCCCTAATTCATGATGTGGACGGTAAGCAGTCCCTTCCTTCCCAGTGTGATTTAACATTTTTATTCTTTATCCCCCACAAGGATTTGAGGTCTTGGCTTCAGCTTCCCATTACTGGCCATTGGAAAATGTGGATGGGATCCATGAACTTCAGGATACAACCAGAGGTAGACGCGGGTAGAGGGAGTAATGGGCTGCGGGCGTGGGTGGCTCTTGGGAGTCACGGGCCGTCAGGACAGATAGATGTGAGCAGCAGCTGCATTGAAGCCAGTTGATGGAGATTAATAAACATTTGTGCAGCTTTCCCTAATCATTGTTATTCCAAAGTACTTCACTAGAGCTTTTATATCTTTTTTTTAATTAAAGGATGGAATTTATGATAAAGCTATTATGAAAATGTCCATTTCCCCCAACAAAAGTAGCTGCTTTAAGCATTAAGCTGTAGACGATGAATCAGTGTGCATATGAGTCCAAGTGTATGTTTTCTAGGTGATAAAAGCGGCAGAATGTACATGCTGGTCAAGACAGGGTCCCATTTGAACCAAGTAGCACAGGTTGTTCCAGATGAGGCAGACTCCCACGTTTGGGGGGTCAGAGTTTCACTCGAAAGGCACCCCCCAATCAGCTCCACCCCCACTGACAGCTCCCCTTTGAAAAGACCAAATGTCACCTCCAATACCTCCATGGTCCCTGTTCTGTGGAAGATAGGTGAGTCTCTCTCTGAGTCGGTTCAGACATGTGCCAGCAGAAGCCCCAGATAGCCCTGAGCTTCCATTCCAGTAAGATCCTCTCTTAAAGCATAAGTTTTGAGTGATTTGGGATTCCTTGACACTCTGTCATTTCCTTATTGCTCCTGATTATGTCACAAGCTGACATACACATGTTCACCTGGTGTTTATTCTGGTTCTGTTTCTTGGATTTTTTTTTAAAAACCCACATATTGATGATTATTATGCTTTTATTGTGATTATAACAGCACACTGGTATTTTCCTTATTCCTGCAACTTAATGTGCTGCCATAAATTGCCACCTAAATTCTAAAATGTTTCCCTTAAAATCTGCAAATCAGGAAGTGTGACAGCACAAGCCTGGGCTGCTGGCATCCTTGAGCAGGCACGCGGTCCAGGGGTGAGTCCCTGTGAAGGGCTCCATATCCACTGCAGGGCCCTGTCCCTTGTTCAGCATGGCCTCTCACTTTCCCACAGGCCGGGTGGCAACTGGGGCCACCGTGGAAACCGTCCTGTGGCTCGATGCTCTCTCCAAATAGTCTGAGCTGTCAGGATGAAAAAGTACCTGTGGAAGCTATAATCTGACTAGCACAAGTTAGAACAAACTGGTTCCCTTTGTTATAATCCAAGTTTCTTTTCTTAGGGCCTTTATTTGAAAGCCTGGAAAGGAGATCATTCCACCAAGTGGAAATGGCACTGTCGAAATAGCTCACTGTTTAGGACACAGAAACCAAAATCTTAGGAGTCATTTCAAACAAGAGCACAAACGACAGAGCATTCCCCTCCTCCACACCTCCTGCTACACCGTGATTATATCAGCAGTTTGTGGTGTTTTGAACACCTTTATTTATGATAAATTCTTATAAGGTAATACAATTCCTGAGATACAATTCATCGTGGTTGAATTCTGTTCACCAAATGTATTAATTTCCATAAAACTCTACATATATTAATGTTTGTCCCAAAACACTCAAATAATGAAGGTCTCACAGCAATTTTTCCATTTCATTCTTTATGTTACAGCGCTATGCTGGCATATTTCAATTTGATTACAGGCTTCTTAAGCAAAAAAAAAAAAGAGAGAGAGAGCGCGCCCATGAGCACATTTTGCTAGATGGCTTTGAAATCATTCCATGGACGTGTGGCTGTGTTACTTGTTGCTGAATTCTCTGTTGTTTTGTCCATTGTCACAATGCCATGTAGTCATTGTCATGCTGTGTCTCTATTTCATCAGTTCTTGTGACATCACAGCCATTAATCCTTTTGTTAAGACTATTTTGTGGCCGTGTTCAATTTCGTATCTCTCAACTGAGCCCCTGGATGGGAACTGGAGCCAGAAATTGGAGCCATTGTTTGTGGCAACATTCAGCAGCAATCGGGCACTGGCTTTAAAGCAGGGCAGGGCCACCGAATTAGGACTGACTTGCTGAGGGCCATGGGGTGGGAGGGAGCGGTCAGAGGAGAAAACCCGCTGCCTTTTTGTGAGGAGCATTTCTCAGCATGTGTTAAGTTGAGAGATATGTCGTTTCCATTCGTTTTTTGTGCCACTCATTTGCTGTGCCTTCTCTTTTGTCATTTCTCCTGGCATTAGGAACCTACGACCTAACTGTGCTTCCTTCCCATGACTCTACCTTTGTGTATACCAATGGCCCTACCTACTCAAATCTCTCTGCAACTGTGGGTGAGCACCTGTACTCATGGTCTGCGTTCTGTCGAGTCTGGATCTGCGGGGAACTTAAAGGCCAATTCAGTTTAGTTCTATGTGGATTCACTGTGTTGTCACCAGTAAAAGCGAGCAGATATCCAAGAAAACAGCCCAGATCCAGGGCACTGTAAATAACTAAGTGTTGTCTACGGCAAGTGTCATAGATTACAATACATCAGAAGGAGTCTATAAGCTCGGAAGCGATTAGGCTCTTCCACACCAGATGCCTGTTTTCATAACAAAACAGACATAAGATGGGGTGTTTTCTAAAAATAGAAATTGTTTGGACTTTTTAATGGATTATATTCTTTGGGGAAGGAAAGGCATACCCTTTTAATGGAAAATTAAAGTTGATTTAAAAATATTGCACCAAAATTTTGATGTCTTACAAACATTGAAATCAGCATTTCTCCTGTAGTTGGAGTTTTT